ACTCAATTCGGTTCAATGGGCAAGGGGCAGGTGAGAGGGCTGGAAAACTGCCTGGCCTTAATACTCTTGGGTTGGAAGCTGGAATTAATTTGAACAAGACCATTCATATAAAGGAGGTACTTTCGTTTTAAAGTAAACCATTTCTCTAGCAACCTAAACATGGCCTACGCCTGTGTGGGGACACCCACACACCTACCATAAGAGGCAGTCATGGCACACATTTTGACTAAACATAATTTAGGAGTTATCATCTCATCATATTTAGTACACCTTTAGATTCTTCAATGGGGGAAAAGCTTGAACATTTCTTGGAACTATTTCCTAATGTAGCTTCCTTAACATTGTTTACCCTCTTTTCCTCTATACCACCTTCTCTCTAACACCAAATCATCCACAGATAAAAGCCCAGAAAACACACTTTCAAAATAAGGAGCAAAAGTCTAAAAGAATTATTACTAGTGAGATATAACGTGGGGAGAGAAGACTAATAAGATGGGGAGAAATTCCGTTACTTGTGCTAATTCTCAATGCATTAGATGGAGCCATACAAGAAGACTGTTTTCAAACATTTTTGACCCAAAAAAAAAAAAAAATTCAACCAAACAGCTCAGCAAGTTGCACAGGCCCAGCCCCCAGACACAGGTGTTATATCTCAGAGGCACCTGGAAGAGGCAAAGTAAGGGCAATGAGAACAACTTGAAGCAAACCAGAGTCTGGGATTATTCAAATTCCACTCGCTGATTTTCTTCTTACTTTCTCCCCACTTGGCTCTCTTATTCCCCCTTCCCCTTCTGCTAAAAGGTAACTAGTGAGCTTCTTTTAGATATGAAATTTTGGTTTATATTTCAAAAGGACACAATATTTAAAATATGTCATAAGCCAACAACAGCAATAACATACAAGTTACATGTAAGTACAGGACGGCGCTGTCAGACCCCAGACTGTTGTCCACCTGCACGGTCACTCGGAAAATGCCCACATTGTGATAGACGTGTTTGATCCCGTCTTCCATGGAGCTGAGATTGACATAGGACACTGCGATGCCATCACCGAAGTCCACTTGGATGAGTGTCCTCTGAACGTCACCCTGGAAAACAGCCCAACATCAGAGGAAAGGGAGTCAGTGCTGGGGCTTGTCCTGGTCCCTGGCTCAGGGATAATGACAGCCCTGGCTCCCTCCTACAGCTGGGAGCATCTGTCTGTTCTGACAGAATCCCTGTGACATTCCCTGGCAGACAGTTTACTAAGATGGATGCTCTCCAAATCTGAAGGGCACCGACTACTAAAAGTTTCAAGGTTTGGAAAATTAAGTGTTTGATTATCAGCTCCAATGTGATATTCAATTCCTCTGAAGGCTTTGTTTATAGTCTTACCATGAATATGACTAAAAGGTGTACCCATACAGTTTTAAAAATTCGGCATACCTGACATGGTCATGGGCCACTTCCTATGTGTTCAGGACCCCTGAATTCCCCCCTCTATTTCTGATTCCCTAACCATGTTGGAGGAAGGATGGGAGACACCTGGCCTTACACCTGACATGACATTGGACTCAGCCCTATTATTATTTAAGATAATGGTGGTTAATTCTTTTATACTTCAGCATTTTGTTCTATCAAAATCATTTCATTCTTCACAGAATCTTATTCTGGAGAGAAAAGCAGGCAACATTCATTACTTTTACAGGTAAGGAAGCTGAAGTCAAGAAAGGTTTAGTCATTTGCTTAAGGTTAACACAGCTAGCTAGTGCAGTTCTGGGATCAGAACCCATCTCTCTGGACTTGCATTTCATTCATTCATTCAAATGGAACAATAGCACTGTGGGTAGAGCATTGACGGCTCCTCCAGGTTTGAATCCTAGTGTGCCATTCACAAGTTGGATGACTTCATGTAGTCATTCAGCCTCTGTGGGTCTCGGTTACCTGATCCATGAAATGGGCATGATAATACCTTAGCATCTTAACTCAAAGGGTTGTTATAAGAGATGTGAGTAATTAGTAATCTTTAAAATTGTATACCTGAATAAATGACTACAAAAACAATGCAGGTGTTAAAGACCTGCAATATCCCTTTTAAAGCTTGATTGGAATCACACGATTCTAAATTTCCCACAGGTAGGCAGGAGACGATAAAGTTGGCTTTATAAAATCCCAGACCTGTAAAAAAAAATGGCCTTTGGAATTTCAGTTGAGATTCTTAAGGAACAAAGTTTCTTAGACCCAAATGACAACAACCAGCTTCCCTCATGCACAGCCCATCCTTTAACAAGTTTTTTGTTTGTTTATTGGGTTAACTTTTCCATTTTCAAGGGAAAAAAAACACAAAACCTTTGAACTATAAATGTATTTTCGATTAAGTAAGGTTCATACGGTATCATATTTTTTGAAAAGGCCAAGTTTAAAATGCTGACATTTAAAAGATTAATTCACAGGGAATGGAAAAGCAGTTCAAATCCTATGAATCGATGTGACCTACTCTTCTGATCTGTGCCCAGCCAAGCATCGTGTTGGGGGCACACGGCAGCGAACTCTTGGTAAGGACATGGGCAAAAATTCTCCCCTAGGGTGGGAAAAGAAACTCCCTTAAAAACTATAAAACAAATATCCAAAAGCCCAGACACTGTGCAATTACTTGAATTCCCTTCACTAATAATATAAATGTCAACCATTCTTGCTGACTTGTCCTGCATTTGGACAACCAAAGTGGACTGATGGATCAATTTCTCATCCTGTTTCTAGTCAGTTTCCACTCCCGTGTTTCCCGGGGTTTCAACAGAGTTGCTGCCAGGTCAGCTCTATGCTTGGGCGTGGAGGAAGAGCCCACATTATAATCCACTCACATCGTTTGGAACAAATGCTCCAGGGAAGTATCAGGAGTAGCTATAGGGTTAATCGTGGAACAAAACAAGCAATATAGTTTCTGAGAAAAAGAGAGAAAGAGAGAGGGAGAGGTGTTTGCGGTTCTTTGTGGGGATGGAGTGGACATCACGTAGGGGCCAGGATTTGCAAGAGGATGGAAGGGAGATTCACATCTTCAGCTGATTCCACTTCAGTCTCCACTGAGAGAGAGCAGCTACCCGCACAACTGGGAAAAGTACAACTCTGGCTGCCATTGCTTGAGTCTACTTTGCCTTCCCTTTCTGATTTGTATTCACCATTCTCCTTTTGTGGGCCTGGACTTAGACCTCTTGTCAATTACATAAAACCCCTCCCAAGTTCTGCCTGTCTGGATGTCTACAGTTTGTCATGCTGGTCTTTTGGCCTGAAAGCATTCTTAATTCTCCACTCATGATAATATTCTCTATGTATAGAACAGATGAAAGGAGGGAGCTACACAGTGTTGAACTAGTGCATCAGTGAGGCTGCCGTTACAGAGTCAGACTTTTAGGGTATTAGGTCAGGTTCTATATACATATATAAAATGGATATATGTTACTAAAGTATTAGGCTTACCATGCACCTGAGACCCCCTGTAGGGAAAGGCATGGAATCCCCTAATCAAATCGGAGGTCCCCAGGACCTTCTGATGAGGGTGTAGGCCTCTGAGCTTGGTACCCTGCACTAGGAGACAAGAGCACCAAGGGGCCAAGTCTGACAGCTGAAGGCAGCAGGTTTCATCCCTGCTGTTGCAGCTTTGCCCACTCAGTGGAACAAACTGGATCCCATGCCTTTGCCTTTAGGGGATCTCAGGTGATTGGTAAGCCTGATACAGCAGTAACCGCATCACCTTGAGGCTCATTTGTCATCAGCCTCTGACGTCCTTGGGTTTTATAATTACCATCTGAGGCAGGAATGCCAACTCCTTTCAGAGAATAAGAAACAGGGCAAAGGAAAGAGCCCAAGTCCTAGGTCGCCATTCAATTAGGCACACTTGCCCTGCTTTCACCGGCTCTCTGGTCATTCATTCATTCAACCAACCAGCAGGTATTTACTGAGTGTTGTATCAGGCACTAACTGGTAAGTAAATTATAACCAACCAAACAAAACGGATGTGGTCTGGGCTTTCATGAGCATACAGACTACTAGTGAGACAGATGGACTTTAATTAAATAATCATACAAATAACTAAAAATGCTATTACAAGGGATGATATGAAGGAGAGGTGCACAATGTTGTAAGCTTGCACAATAGGAAGCGGTGGAGAGATGAAAATCTGATCTGATTGAGAACTTCAAGGAAGGCTTCCCAGAAGAAGTGACATCTAAGCTGAGAAGGCCTAAAGAAGTAAATTAACCAAACAAAGGACATGAGTGAGTGAGATGGGGGTGAGGATTCCAGGCAATGGGGATGGAAGGAACCAGATGTGCAAGGGCCCTGTGGCAGAAGGGGGATGGTATAAAGGAAGCTGAAGATATAGACGCAGTAGGAACATGTTACAAAATTAGACTGGAGGGGAGAAAATGACATTTTAGGACCTGCGGGCCAAGTTTCTGATTTTGATCTTTCTCCTAAGAGTAATGGGAAGCCATTAAAGTGTTTTAAGCAGGAGTTTGGGGGAAGATAGCATGATCATATTTTTAATTCAATAAGGTCACTCCAGCTACTACATGGAGGATGAACTGGAAGGAGGCTCAAGTATTCTGAGAAGCCAGTTGGGGGTAGTTCTGGGCAGATAATGGTAGATTGAAATGTGAGTTGCAACAGGAAATTACATTCACCTTCCTGTCAAAATTAACTCCCATAGTTTATTGGTTCTGAAATCAGTGAATCTCAGCCTTTGATATCAGCATCTCTTATAGAAAATAAAAGAAAACAGTGCTGAT